AGAGGGGCAGTGGAAAAGAGAGAGAGAGAGAGAGAGAGAACCCCAAGCAGACTCTATGCCCAGTGCAGAGCTCATCATGGGGCTTCATTCCACAACCCTGAGATCATGACCTGAGCAGAAACCAAGAGTTGGACACTTAACTCTGCCACCCAGACACCACACTAATATTATTATTCTTAAACAACTGAAGTGCTACATAAGTCATCTGTTTCTTAGTGGTAAGAGAAAAGTTATTTATTTGCTCTACAAATATTTGAACACCCACGTTCAAAGCAATGAATAAGCTGCTGCGGTCAATACTGGGGAGTCTCAGAATCGCATTTTTCTGTTAATCCAAGTCTACAGCTTTATTATTTTAATTAATTCCTCACCCAATTTCATTCCTTTCTGTCATTCTCTTTTCTTTTGAATATGTCACAGGGAACCATGTCTCCTATAATCCTATAATTATATATCCATTCCTTAATATTATCAGAAACTTCTAAAAAACAGTAGCTCAATGACTTGTACTTCTAGATGTTCCGAGACTTATCTCTCTTCACATTTCATCACCTTCTAAACTAATCAGATATGTACACTCCAAATTTCCCTCACCAGCATTCGGGGACAGGGAATTGAAGAACAATGATAATATGCATTGCCCACTTTCTATGTTCCAATATGGGGCCAAAAACTTCACATGATCACCTTCAATCCAGGAGAAACTCTTACAGAACATTCCAGAGTTAAGGCTGGAATTTTTCCAGCTGGAACCATCCAAGGGGGCACTGTGTTGCCTCTTGCATACCTCGCTTACTTTTTTGTTCCTGTATCATTCTAAATGTATATTTCACTATCGATGGCAACACATATTATTGATGGGGCATCAGTTTTGAGTTTTGCTACATGAAGATACTGAAATAAGTACCTTATGCCCATCAAGTCCCAATGTCAAACTTAAGAACACATGGTATTTACTTTTTTGGTAGAAGCATTCAGCTTATGCAGTTAACCACAGTGTTTACTAAAACAGACAGAATGATAAATTTTTATTTTGTCATTAAAATAATAAAGATAATCTATTTCCAAATATTTGCCAATTTATCATTTGAAAAATTTAAAATGTTCATTCAAAATTAACTGCAAATGTACTTTCAGATAAGAATGTGTAAACTTCATTATAATGCTTTTTTTTACTTCATCATAAGATTTCCAAACTATTTTTTCTTCTTGTTCAAGTAAAAATTGTGTTTTTTATAAGTTATATTGAAAAGTAATTATCTCTCTCATATAGATCAGAATATGTTTACGAATTTCTCAGATTTATATATTTTGCTAAATCTGCTAAGTTGTGATTTCATTACACATTGTGAATAGTACATTTGTTTTAATTTACTGCAAAATCACTAAACCCCTTAATGAAATAATGTTTTAAAAAAGCATGGCAGGCTTTTGTTCTTAATTATATAAATGATTACTTTATGCATGTTTTTCCTATGTTAAAAATGACTACATTAACCCAATCTGTCCTCATTTCTCAAAGTCCTAAGTGCTTTTGGGAACAAATCAGTTATTCAACAATGTTTCAGAACTTAAATCCTGAGTGTTTTAATGTTAGACTGTGAAATAAGGCAGAATTCAAAGGCATTTTATGTTCTTCATGAGAATCTAGAATTTTTATTGGATTCCAGGTAACTTTGGACAATAGACATGATGGGATGTTTTCTCTTGGAATAAATAACAATTTAATTATATCATCGAAATAAAATATAGTGTGGGCTTAATACATTGTAAATATTACGAAAGTACTACTTTGCTCTAGTAATTTAATGACTGAAGCTACATTGAATAACAATCTTACTAGTACCTGTGTACAAAGTATTATACATATTACTAACGAAGATATTACGGCGGTTGCAAGGGTGTTACCAGCTCAATGGCATCTAACGATACCATATTCTTCTAAGAGGAAAGGAATAATGTTAGATTTACAGACAGTAAAGAGTTCTGTTTCCCAGTTGAAACATCGGAAATAAGAATCCAGATAATCTGGCATCTTGATTCATACTATCACAAGAAAAGGTTTCCTCTCTTGGGGACTCGGATCCCCAGCAAGCCTAGTACACTAAGTTTACATGAAGATCAGTTGTAGGATGCCACAGCAATGTAAAGAAACCCTTCTATCTGAAAAGTACTGATTTGTAGGCCACTGCTTAAATGCCTGACTTTTTTTCTTAAAACCTATTTACATACATTCAGCCCCAATCAGTAGATAAAATGTTTTGTCTATATTACAATAGGCATTGTTAACATTTCATCAGAAGGCCAACGCAAGACAATTCTTAATAGCCATTGCCCAGCATTTAGGAGATTTTAAAATATCATACAAATATACAGTTAGATTGTGAGAAATCTAATTTTGCGCATGGTATCGGTGGCCTCTTTTACAGATGTGGGATGGCAGAAATGAATCAACAGGACAGTAACTAGAGTGCTACTCATACAGGGCCTAATTCTCATCTGGTGGTTGGGCCTGGTTCCTGCAACGTGGGTTTAGGCAGCCAAAATTCCTTGACACTTAATGCCAGATAGACTTGACTCAACCTGGTGGGGAGGCTTGGGTATCATCTCAAGTGTAGGCGTATGTCTGCAGCTTCTCCCAGATCCATGTTTCTTTTCCATAAATCTCCTACATAATGGAAAATCAGAGTTTCTTGTAAACAGCCCTCTTTATCTAAATGAAACTATTGGTGTATTATGAAAGATTCATCATTACTCTGAAGAAGTTGAATAGGTTAGGAATTTGGCCCTTTCTGAAGACATGTGTGACAGTGAAATGCACGGTCAGGACAAATATGTTACCCCAGAGGAACGTAGGTAAGTCTGAAGTCAGACCTTACAAGACTTATTTGAAATTTAAATTATATTTAAGTTAATGGGCCTAATTAAGGGACTAGGTAATGAATGATACTGATGAATGGTAATTCTAATAAGTATACTCATTAGGGAGAACGTTTGAATCTCTTGGGTTGGGAAATGATACTAAAGCATCAAAGTGAATCAAACTAATTGAAGAGTTTTAAAATGAAGGTAGTGTAACACATATGTGATGGTATTTCACAGATATTTCTTAGAATATCAATAAGCACCAAGTTTAGTGCCATCAGCCCCATTGTCCCTTAATTTGTTATATATGATTCAGATCTTTGAAAGCACAACACAGTATAAAATCTACATTGCATACACACAGATACAGTTTCAAAAATGAATCCTGGAATTTTTCTACAAATAATGAGAATTTCGTCTTCACCAGGTCTTCATAGCTGTGAGCAGAGATTTGGTGCTGCCTGGTGAGCTCTGAGACGTGTGGATTACTATTCACACGTGGGTAATACGGGACAAAAGAATGGCAGTTCTTCAGTGGAACCAGACCTTGGTGAGCTTTTGGAAACGATCTTTTTTCTTTCTCCTAAAGAGAGCTTATTCATCCTCCAGCATGCTGAGCCCTCCCCTGCATATCACAGAGAGATAAAGTGAGGCAACCAGCATGCAGATTTGAGCTGTACGTACAGACAGTTAAATCCATCCCACCTTGGCCCACAGGCCACATTCAGCTGCAGACCATATACTGCCACAAAAGGACAATGCCCCAGTAGACTGCTCATCTATCTAGAGAGCTAGAAATCACCAGATAAATGCTAGCTCTCCACTTTAATTCATGTTAGGCAGGTCTCTGGGTCCTGTAGGAGCCATGCTTTATCTGTATAAGAAGACTATTTGTAAGTAAAATTGGTCAGGGTCAAGTGACTTCTGAAGCAATATTAATGCTTACTGGGAAAAGGGCCTTATTCTGAGCACCCATGGCACCATTAAGGAGTATGAGGCTGGGGCACAAGAATAAAGCAAGCCACGCTCAGCTTATACTTTAGCAGATCTTGCTTACCAGGAAAAGAGGAGAAGCCTACTTCTTAGCCCAAACCTACCCAGTCAAAGCCGGGTCCTGAGCTGTCACCAAGAGCATCTGGGTAAAGCATAGAAGCAGCCGTATGTCATCCAAGCCTCAGTCACAAGGGTGTCTGCTCATCACTGCCTTTTTCTGTCTCACCACTGTCTGCCTGGCCTCCTTAGCCACGAGGACCCGACTGGGTAGTTCTCCTTCAGCAGGCGGGGTCCAGTGCTGCTTAGACGGGATCACACTGCTCCACGCTTCAACAATAAATGTCATCATGGATTTCTTTAGAACCGCTTCCCTTTTGATGATTTACCTCCCTATAGACCTGGTAGACCTTAGGTGCTCAGAAACCAAGACACTCATTTCCCAACACTGACATAGCAAATACAGACCTTCACTTGCATGTTTGTCATTGATCATTCCTTGGTAGACACGAGTCTTAAGAAATATCTAAAGGTCAGTTTAGTAGTACTTGACCCAATCCCTTGGTGGGGTAAGGGGGTGGGGGAGGAATTTTATGAATGTTTATGGTATTTTTACCAACCAGCTTTCATAAAGAACTCAATTTTAGAAACTGAATTCATGTGCAAGTATGCAGCAAGTGGTATGATTTACACTTGGTCACAGTTTTCTCACTTTAGGACACGACTATAACGGTTACAGGATAGAAACACACACACATTTATAGTCACACTCACGCACGGTATAATTTTACTGATCCAGACAATACTTATTTTCAATTAAGAAAAAATGAAGACTCATTTGGCCACCCAGGCATGAAATCTACTGAAACCTGGAATATAAGAATGCAGTACTCTTCAAGTAAACAGCAATTGCACAGTGATAACAATATACATTAAGGTTGACACATGCTGTCTTAAGAGGTCTAGTAATAGCTAAAGACTAAAGAAAGTCAGAGATGTCAGCCGGAAAAGTCAATATGCCTTCTCTCTTCCATTCTGCTTGTAATCCATCACCCAACAGAACAGCCATAGTCCAGAAGATAGTAAATGTCCATGTATGAAAATGCAGGGCTAACAAATGTTTAAGTGTCCGTGAATTCTGCTCAATAGTCTTCAGATTCTTCTTGTTGTTAACAGAAAAATAAACCTTTATGAGTATCTCAGTGTCAAATTTAAATAGATTGGAAAAAAATATTAAGGTTTCTCAAGTCATGGGCAATACTTTTTTAAAAAAGTGGTCTCACTGGTGTACATCCGCCGCTTGTGTCCCATTGTTCTCATGAAAATCTACCTTCCAGTTTTGCTGAACTAGACGAATATAAATAACACACAGTAAACACGGATCCACACCTCACATGACACGACACATTTTACAAAAGAGCTCTACTTTAGTACTGTAACTTGTAAAAATGGACATCTCTGATACTTATGGACAAATACATTTCACATTATAACGAGAGTTGTGGTTACAAAGGCATTACTCATGTGATGGTGTTTTCCTACGGGTCCTTAGACTTCAGACCATGTAGCTGCACGTGTCTCTCCCATTTTGCTGAGACCCTGAAGAAGCTTTGGTCACATCAGCAGCTGGCTGTCTTCACTGTAAACCCCTGAAGAACTGAGTGTCGGTACCTACACTGTCGAAATGCTACAGAACTGAGAACTGATCCTGGTGACAGTCCCCTTTCACTGAGCATGGTCAACTTAAAAAAATATAACCGATGAGATGACAGACTCTTCTAGATTTTAAGCTTTAAAAAAAAAAATGAATTTCTTTTCCTGTGCTGCCAGGAAGGCGTCAGGCTCACAGAGCCTCGGCAGACGTGTCTGTGGACACAGACATGGTCACCTTGGCAATCTTGACCGTGCTCTTGATGCAGCTCTCTGCGGCCCTGTGAACACTGGCCGTGTTATTGGCATGCTTGTGCAGGCAGTCCGAGTCCCCCATGCTGTTGTCAAGAGGCTGCGCGGTGCCTTCACACGAGGGGAACATACTCCGGAAAGCATGTCTCAGGTCCTTGCTCCTCAGAGCATAGATGATGGGGTTCACGGTGGAATTCAGCAGGCAGAGCATACTGCAGAACGCAAATACTGTCTTAATGAGCTTGTTCATCTTCCCAAAGACGTCGTACACCATAATTGCAAGTAGAGGGCCCCAGCAGATGATCAAGACCACAAGGATCAGGACCAGGGTCTTGGCCAGCCGAATGTCCATGCGGGCTTGGTCGGGCCGTGTCACCTGCACCTTGCCGTCCTCGGACGTGTGGATGATGATACTCTTCTGGGTCCCGCGCTGAATCATGCGGACTGCATGGCTATGAGCCTTCCAGAGAATATACATGTATGCGTACACAATGAACAGCAGCAGCACGCTGGTGACCCCGATCCAGAACATCAGGTAGGTTTCGTCGATGAGCGGGAAAATGTCTGAGCAAACGGACTGCAGCTTCTTGCAGTTCCAGCCCAGGAGAGGCAGCACGGCGATCACAATTGCGATGGTCCACATCAGGCAGAACGCCACCACGGCCTTGGGCCTGGTGACGATCCTCTTATAGGCCAGGGGCCTGTGAATAGATATGTACCTGTCAATGGCTGTGAGGAACAGGCTGCCTACGGACGCCGTGAAGGAGGCGGTGACCCCACCCAGTTTGAAGAGAAACACGTTGGGGCTGTCTTTGCGGTGGAACACGTGGAAGTCAACAAAGCTGTAGACGAAAATGACGCTCCCCAGGAGGTCGGCCACGGCCAGGCTGCCAATGAAGTGGTAAGAGGGCCGGCAGCGGAGGCTGCGAGAATGGAGGATGACACACAGCACCAGCAGGTTCTCCAGAACCGTGAAGGTGCCCAGCGTGAGGGACAAGACGGCAATGGCCAGTTGCTGGCTGGGGTTCAGAATCATGAAGCACTCCATGTCCATGAAGTTCTCCCCACACTGGATGTTCTCCTCATTCTCCTTGTAGGATGAAAGGGACTTGTTGTAAAATTCGGTAATGTTCACCTGGTCTGCCGGGACCAACTGGGCGTTGTCTCCGGCGGTCATCTTTTCTTGGAAGGGACTTCCCCGAAAGGAAGTTAAAGGAAATTTCTGTGGGAAGTACCCTAATTTGGATGCCATGTCACCTTTGATATCTTCGTACTGAATGTCATTGGAGCCCACGTAGAGGAGGTCTGTTGTGATGGTGCGGAAGGTGGTATCAGCAAGGCCATCTAGGATAGACTTCATAACCTCCGTCTTGGATCAGGCCAAACTCAAAAGGACTGAGAAAGAGACCCACAGCAGGGAGTCCTAACAGGAGGGAAAACAAAAAAGCTCAATGGTGAAAAGCCTGGGAGAATCATAATAATGTTTTAAAAACTGACTGTAAACATCCCAAACATGTACCATCATGGTATTTTATTCCTGTCTCTGAGCCTAGATAAAATCCTTGTCACCTTCAGTCAACAAAATGAGTCAGTCAGTCACAGAAAAGCCACCCAGAGTTGGCAATGTGGAGGCGCCCACTAGAAACACATTTCTTTCATTACTGAAGCTGTCTGGATTTAAGTCACTGTGTGATCCTGCACGGACCTCCAGGGTCTGACAGTCAAGCAGAAGGAAAGGTGTGTTGGGCGTGGCACACACCTCATAGTTGCACTAGGAAATGTGTACCACTGGCTTCTACCACCACAGACACACAGCATCCTAATGCTGGTGGGGACGTGGTAAAGCAACATGTCACACAACTACTGCTCTTAAAGATTTTATCACCTTGTCACACAGGTAAGACTGAATGTACAGCACAACCAAAGAATGAGGCTGTATGGAATCAGGGACTGTGTGCAGCCTGTGTGCTGAACATGAAGGGGGAGGAAGAGACTTTTGAGAACCAGAGGAACAGATGACCATGGGGGGAAGACCTGGATGCTGGCCTGTCTCCTCCCCTGGAGGAGACATTTGGACCAACCCATGGCTGAGGTGAACTTTGAACATGTCTACACCAACCAAGAAAAATGTCACGAAGGGCAAGCTTCCACTGAGGCTCCTGGGCAGACCAAGATCCTGAACACTGGGAAGCAGTGATGAAGGAGAGCGTTTCCTGACAGTGTCCCTCATGAGTGTTGTGGTGACACAAGCATGCTGGGAGACAGGAAGCAGGCCTCAATGCTGTATCATCTAGGCTTCCGTGTAGATGGCACCAGAAATAAGGATAACTAAGAAAAAGGAGCCAAATTTTAAGAGCTCTTCAATTCTAAGATAAACAATTTGGTGTTTGTTTCAAAATAAACAGCCAGGGAATTGATTTTACTATTTATAAATTCTCTTTAAAACACAGCTATTAGGCTCTTTCGCTTATAATGATATTAGAATTACTAAGTGGTATCTATAATAATTTTAAAATAACCATAAAAACTAACTTTTTTTTCCTAGTTATATTTTTCTTTTTTTTTTTAAATATATCACACTGTACAGCGGGGTGGCTCTGGGATACTTATTATCTTGGAACAAATGAAAATGTTCTGAGTTCTCCTGCTAAAATACAGAAATCCTACCTATCTAAAGTCATGATTCACTCATTCATTCATTCGACAAATTATGGAGGACCCAGTATGTGCCAGGCTCTGTGGTAGGTAAACACTAGGGGCTGGGCATGTACAGTACCAAGCAAGAGTCCCTATCACATGGAGTACACAGTGTGGCAAAAGACAGACAGCTGACCCCGGTAATTATGATGAAGTGTGGTGACAGCTATGACTGGAGATACACCAGACACTGCTGGGGGCGGCTAGTCTTGGGGGTCAGAAGGAGGCTTCCCCAAGGACAGGGTGTCTATGCCAAGAGTATGTAGGATTAGTGAGTGGAGACAGAACATGGAGGCAAAGATTAAAAATTTAAATGAATACCTTAATTATCACAATGTGGTTTTTTTTTTTCCTTCTGCTTTATTTAGTAACTTGGAATAGGGACAAGGTGCTGAATGTGGTCCACCTTTCTATATTCTACAATCCCTGGGTCCAGGCTGTCTTCTGAGTCAACTCCACTCTCTGCAAACTTACATTTGCTAAACAATTCTGTTTACACATGAAAGTTTTCATCCACCATCTGAAGGACACAGAAAATAGCCACAATTCGTGAGAGAGCTGTTCATGGTCCTGGCATATCCTCATATCCAACTTTGGCCTCTCAACGCCCACCCGTACTCCAACATAGAGCTCACTGGCCCTGCTGTTCTTTGGGTCACACCTGTACACGTTCCTCCTTCCCTCTGAGCCTCCCCCTGTCTGAAATATGCATTTCCAAGATCTCTGCTCCACTGATCTTTCAAGGCCTGGTGCCAAACTTACCTCCATTTCTGATATCCCCTTGGCCAGCCCTTCCCGCCAGGCAGAACTAATTCCCCCAGTTTTCCCCTCTATTACAGGGCTCACTGTATCATTTAATCATGAGCTTACATATCTACTTCAATAACTAAAAAATGGTTTCCAAGCACAGGAATGGTATCTTTTTTTCTTCTGTGTTTCACCAGCCTGATAACATGATAGCAGAGAAGAAAGAGATGGCTAGTCTCCCTTAGAAATGTTCACATGAACCTAAGAGATGGCAGCTGAATTTTATTAACTGGTGCATAAAAGCAGCGATTTAATAATACTTATTTGTCTTTTCTAAAAATCAGAGGAGAGAAACATAATTAATTCAATGGGTATTTGGCCTGAAAACCGAAACTGGGAGCCAGTCCAGGACCTCCCTCCCAAGTCCGCTTATTTCAAGTAACTAACTTGTCCTTCACATTTCTCAATTAAAAACGAACTTATGTGAAATTTTGATCATTTGTACGCATATATTACATCCAAAAGATTCCAAATTCAAAAGGAACAGAAGGATATACAGCAAAGTCAGTCTCTCCCATCCCCGTGTCTCAACCATCCAGTTTTCCTCTCTGGTAGCAAGAAGATCCTTGTTACTCTTTCTAGAGATATTCCATGCAAACTCAAACAAATACATGAATTCCTTCTTTATTTTCTTTTTAACAAATACTAATATACCACATGTACCATTCTGCACCTTGCTTTTCCATTTAAAAGTATGCATGAAGACAGTTCCCCATTGGTCCACAAAACCTCTCCTCATTTAGCAGGTGCCTTAAGTATCCCTTAGATGAGTGTGACCAGCCTCCTTCTGATGCAGGTTTACATTGTTCATCATCTCTTGCTGTTACAAATAGTGCTGCCCCAAATTACCTTCAGTCCTGTCTTTTTTCACATTTCTTATGGAATTATGACTAATCATATTAGCTGCCCAATCTCATACTTTGAACGCCCTGAACACCTCTTCTTTCTTGGCCTCTATAATCAAGCAGACCCCAAAGTCTTGCTGATTTTCCCTTTTTATGCACTAAGGGAGAGCTTATTATGTGCAGGCGGCCTCCTGAGCCTCTTATGTCTATGGAACTGTTTATTTTTCACAATGGCCCTATGAGGTGAGTGCCGCTATTATCCCCATTTCACAGATGAAAGGCACAGAGAGGGTAAGGAATTCACCATTCACACAGCTAGTAGGTGGCCAAGCCAGAACAAACCCAGATGTTCTGGTTCTACAGCAAGTGCTGTCTAATAAAAATATAAAGCCACATATGCAATTTTAAAGTTTCTGCTACCTAGGTAAAAAGGAAAAGGTAAAAGGTGAAATTAATTTTAATGATATATTTTATTTAACTCAGTGTATCCAAAATATTATTACTTCGACACCTGGTACTAGCCACATTTGAAGTTTTTAATAGCTACATGCTGGGGTCCAAAGCTGCTTTTAATCTTAATGAGCCATCATCCCTTTAACCTGAGCCAAGGATGCTACTATCTCCTTTCTTTTCCCCACTGATTCCAACCAGTCAAAACACTAGTAATGGGGAAAACAGTGAATTAGGAGTTAGCAGACCAAGATTACTATGCAACTTGTACTTGGGCAAGGAGTTAATGTCGATAAGCCTCAGTATTTCATCTGCAAAAAGGGGATGAGGAGGAGGAGGATATTGCCTAAGTTATACGATTGTTCTAAAAATTAAATGAAAAAAAAAAGCAGATCACGTACTTAACATAGTGTCTGGCACAAAATTTAAGTCTTTAGTAAATATGAGTTTTTCATCATTACCTAGTACCATGACTCTTGCCATATATTGTTTTGAGATAGCACACTGCCTTATTAAATCATAGGCTGCTTATTCAATTTTTATTTTTGTCTCAGCACTTAAAGCATGAAGGAATTAGAAGATGCACCCATAGGTGCATGTGTGGAGGAGGAAATGTTATGGGCGGTCTATATAGAATTATTTAACTCCAGGAGACCAAAGACTTCACACATATTCTATCATCAAATTGTCATGACAACTTTATTAGATGCTTATTTATTAATCCCTATTTCACAGATAAGGAAATGGAGGTCACTAGATGTTAATGCAAATTGTCCAGAAGATGAAGAGTTTGTAGCTGACAGACTCCAGACTCTCAGACTCCAGAATTTTTGCTCTTGGACTTTATGCATGGTTTTAGGAATTAACAGTAACTAGAATAAAGCCATTTTGCTTTCTGTATTATATTCAAGCCTTCTAGCTTCTTACAAACTCAAATTAAGGCATTTTGTCAATAGTAATTAAGACTAGCTCCTACTAAATCACTATTTCCTATCCCAGCCCATCTAGGTAAATCTGCCTATTGGCATGGCCTCAAAGATTAAAATTTTAGTATCTGGAAGAGCTATAAAGCTTCTTCAGTGAAGACAAAGGATCACACATCTTTTTTCAGCAACGCAAACCTATGTGTGCCTGAGATTTACTCTACATTAAGGTTACCACCTGTGTGATCACAATTTCCCAATTAAATGCAACCGAGCACTTTCATTAAAACACAGTCACTTGTTAACTCTGAGCTGGAGCATGGTGTGGTTATGAAATATAGACTAATTTCTGTTCAGTATCAGCCAACTTTAATTAAGGAATACAGTTTTAAAGTATACATGGGTTTTGTGCAGTTCAAGGATTTTAGTAATGTCAAAGTACCACAGTGAGTAGGCAATTTTACCAGTTAACAGAATCGTGGCGGGTAAGTGGTCCTCTGCATTTCAGTAATTCTTTCCTTTATTTCTACCTTTGGATTATTACAGTAATTTTCACCTGATTATTTTTTGCACTGAGAGTTTTCTTTGAGAGTCCATTAGTAATACAGTTTAGGCTTTGGGGGATGCAACTGCCATTAATTTTGTTTTTGTTTGCTACTGGGAAAATCATAATTGGAAATTTCTAGCAAGATGCGTAGATG